TGAAAATTTCTATACGAAAATAATTAATACAGTGCGCAGTGATAAAAGTCACAAATGAAGTAAATTTTGTAAAATAGAAATATATTCAGTAAAACCAAGATGTGTATTATGTAACGCATCGTTTTTCTTATTTGCTTTCTTCTACGTATTCGTGCACATTCTTTAGTAGAAAGAAAAAACATATCTCGGGAGACACATATGGGTGCATGTGTGTGTGTGAAGTATGCTTTTCATGCCTGAGGACTCAATTATTTTTCAAAGGAGTGCAAAGATTTTTTTCGAAACTGATGTAAACAATACTAAAAACACCTTCAACATAATGTTCAACCATTCTTTTTCTGTAAACTATTTCTCTATGGGTAAACATATTCATCCAAGTGAGCTAGAGACTAATAACGAAGTTTTAGTACACTTCACTTAGAAAAGATGCCATGTGTACTCATCAAATCTCAGCATAAACATCTGACTTGAATAGCATTGACTAAAAAAAATATGGTTTTCTTTTTGTCAACTATTTAACTATTTTGAATAATAAATGTCATTGGTACTTGATCTTCTTCTTGAGAAAAAATAGTGCTATTATAAATTGTATCCAGTTTTTCAAGGTCTGATTGAACATATTTGTCTAAGAACATTTTTTTTTCCATAATCTGTTTTCGTTTTTTTTCCGTACTGAAATATTATCTTCTTTTAATCCACTGTACATGGACTAAATAAGTAAAATAAAATCATTTACGAAAGATGAGTAGGAGAAAAAAAACGCTAAAATTAGAAACTATCGCTAGGATCGCCCATTATATGAATTTTTCGAAGGATAAAATAGAAGATTCTGGGTTTTCTAATTTATCGAGGGCTTTAAATACTCAGGTCGACGAACATTAAGTTTATATACTACATTTGCGAACGCCCATATGCATCACATAAATGTACAATGATAATATTGAGTCATGTATCTCGTCTTATTTTTGCATATACGATGGTTTAGGACTCATATCTATATGACATAGGAATTAACATACAATTCAATTGTATAGAATGAAACTTATCTTTGGATTTAATGTTGGAGACAAAAGATAAGATTTCTTATCGAGACGGAGATCTGAACTCAGGACGAATATATAATCACCCTTTTGCAGCTTAGATGAATTGGCATAGTCTATTTCCTAATCTTTAGTAGAAAATTTTATTTATTTAAAGATAGAATGGTGAAAATGCAAATTTTTGTGGGCTTTGTTGTTTTTAAAAGTTTCAGATAATGAAAAGGAGAACAACAATACAAGTCGTCCAGCATTCTCTCTAAACAAGCAATTTTATATATAATATCAGAAAATACAACCGATGATAGAGAGAAAGAAAGAATCAATCAATCAATCGATAGTATTGATAATAGAAACATGCTGACAAGTACTGATAAACTTTATAATGATTACTTTTCAGTTTCTTTCTGACATCGATCAGTTGATTGATCGGAACGTTACTTTTATTAAACATAGAGATAGAAAAAAAAAAGAATCTGATTCCAATAAACTGTAAACATATTTGGAAGAAAAGTATTTCATATTTAATGGTAGAAATGATTTTTCGTATTTTTCTTTTTGAAGATATCCATTTCTCAATAATCAATAGTCGAATGAAATTCGAATGCTATCAAGTTGATTTCGTTTTGTTTCCTTATCAATTTTACTATTTTCCTTATGGATATGTGTATATTTTTGATTAAAATAAACATTTGATTATATTTATTGGCATCAAATGATATTGTTCTATTCTTATGATATATAGTACGATGAAAAAATAATCGAGTAAAAACTTATTCATATCAGACAAATGAAAGATACTAGTTTATTTTGGAAGAATGATTATCATAATATAATGTACGTAAATAATTTATATGATCACGAACAATAAGGCTCAATTAAAATAAGAAAATATCATCAATTTATTTTGATAAATACATGTTCAAATAGTTAAATATTTGAATAAAGAAACACATATTTTCCATTATAAAATAGGAAAAATTTACATGTATGCCTTTTAACGTTCAAGGTCACCACATGTTATTGTAAATCTTTTTTTTTACTTGTCGATTCATTTCTGAAAAACGTCAAAGAAAAGTTTTATTAATATTAAATAAACATCTTACAGTTTTGTGTCTGTTCAATACAAGCAGCTTTAAATGATGATCTATACAATACTAAAAAAAAAAGATACTTAATCAAGAAAAATAATATATCTTTCAACACCGATGAGTTTATTCTAAAATATATCTATGAAATTTCATATCTTGCATTATTATGTATCAATAATAATCATATTTTATTAATATAGAATGTCAATACCAATGCATATTTGAAAAAAAAAACAATTTTGCACCACGTTAATAAACTATAAACTATAGTTAATGAATTGTAAAAAGAGTCGTTGTGTTCCTTTTCCATTACATGAACTACTGATATCTCTTTTGAATATTATATTCGTAAAACTATCGATTCAAGGACTAGTATGAATATTATCTTATCAATAAACCAATCCCAGTTTTGCTTATAAAAATACAAAAGAGAAAATGTTTAGAGATACTTTAAAAATTAAATGTATCAGAAACAAAAAAAGATTATTATTATGTAATTACATCGTTTTTCTTATAAACTATTGTTATAAGAAGCATAATTAGTGTCAAATTTGTTTATATATATATATATTTATAAGCATAAGCGCAAGAATGAAATCAAACGACTTCAGTCTTATAATTTTATTTCGTTTAGACTGGTCTTTTTCATATATGTCAGTATGGTTTCTCTTTCTTATTCAAATATTTTATTTTAATGTTAATGAATTACATAAGATTTTATGATTTTCACTTTCAAGTTTATAGAAAAGTAAAAAAAAACGAAAACTCACATTTTTATTTTATTTGCAAACAAGAGAACAAAAAAAATATACTTTATTCGCAATGTGAAGATAACTGAATGCCATTCGAAGACTTTTTTAATCAAAAGAAAGAACGGAAAACGACTTGATTAAGATCCCGGCAAATTTCTCAATGTTGGCTATTGTTTAGTTTTCTTCTCTTGTTCTGTAGTTGGAAGATCGAGAATAAGAATGGATGTTTCTGAAGAGAACAATAAGAAAACAATTTGTTTTTCTGTTTTGTGTCGGTGTAATTGACAACGAGAGACATTCATTTGCCAAGAAAAGGAACAAGTTGATAAGAGACGGCAGAAATATTTTTGCTACCATGACTTCTGCTGTAATTTGGTTTCCATGTATTTTCAATCGACATGATTGAATCAACAAAAAGCATCGTATTTTTTTTCATTCAAGATCATTTAGTTTCTTCTTTAGTTAATGGAGAAAACATTAAGTGAGTATCAATCTAAAACAAAACAGAAAAGCATATTTTCAAATTAAAATTTTCTTTTTATCAAAACAGTTTAAAATATTTCAAGCGAAATAATTGATTATTGAATTTTTTTTTATTTTCATACGTCTAAGTAAATGAAAGTACTGTTGTACTCACATGTATAAAAGAATGTCCTTTTCTTTCATATTTTCTATACATAATCTTTTAAATTCCATTAACATTTTGATCGTAAATAAGAATCATAGATACAACGAAGAATGATGGAAAGAAAATATAAACAAACTTGAAATTTATAAGAAAAGAAAAAGAAACATCTAGTTCGTTGGGCATAATTGGTAACATTCGTCTACAATATTTGTAAGACAAGTGAAGTGAGTATCCATGCCTTAACTCCCAATATTATTCGACCAGGTTTATTTTCAATTTTTTTCTTTCGATGTAAATGCTAACAAGTATTGAAATAGTCATTTGAGTAGAGAGTTTAATTGCCAACAAGATATTTTTAAAGATGAAAATGGTTGCAGATTTACTATGGATAACATCTCTGAAAAGCCAAAACTGAAACTTTACAGATCCTTGAATTCATTAATATAATTTTATTTGAATTACTTAAAATGATGATACAAACTATTTTCTTTAGAATTAACCATGTTCTAGCTCTGAATGAGATTTTTAGACCGAAATACATCAGCCTTGGGGAAGTCACAACAACTGTGTTTCTATACGAAATAATAGATAACAAAGGGTTTTGTGCTGTCTGTAACGTTGATTTATTTCAGTCAAAAAATCTCGTTCAAAGCTTAAAGACGGTACATGTTTGTGCACAGAACCATTTGCTCTATCAATCTGACTAATTCAAACAGATTTCTATGAACTGAAAAACTTGGTTTTTCAGAAAGCTCATGCTTAAGAAGTTAATAATCATTTTTATATCCAAAAATTCTTATTAAAAATAAAATTTTCCACTAAAACCACTCTTTGAATTTTCATTTAGCATTTATAACCAGTGATAATAGTTGAAAATAAAATTTGCCAAATAAGTTTGAGAGCAACTCTATACATACATATATACGTATAGTATATGTGATTGAAAGGTTTTAGAATAAAATTATATCCGACATGTGCCTGTGTTTCTTTTTTCATTTTTATTTCATTGTATTCATTACAATCAAAAAAGCAAGATGATTAAGATTGAAGTATAGTGGCCGTCGCTATCGACATTGTTACAAGAGTATTTTTTTTTCTCTTTCTACGCCTTTGCTTTTCTTTTTTTCGATCTTTTTGAAAATGAATGCATCATAGGCATATTTAAATATGTGTAAAATTTTCGTTTTTTATTAAGAAGAGTGTTGATGTCAATCAATAAAAATTGTGTTAAAATAAAACAAAATTAATTGAGAGACACTCAATGTCGAGTTTTTTTGTTTGTTATGATACTAATAAAATATTTCTAAGTGTGAATTGGTTTTTAGATCTCTCTGTCCGGTGATCATTTACTATGCATAAGAAGCGAAAAATTTAGGAAAAATGTATAAATACTTTTTTGCAATCGCCATAAAAATATTACTATGGCATGTAAGTATGGTTCATTATATGTTCGTTTTTCATTTTTGATATAAAATTGTATTATTTAATTTAGATGTGTTTATCTTTGCATGAATGTAACAGAACAATTAATGGAACTGAGATGAGCTTTACTTGTCCATCGATAGTTGGTAGTCAAGAGCTTAGATTATATGATTTAACTGTTGCTCAATTGAATAGTATTACATCATTGATAGTAACCGGTAATGAAAATATTGTGGGCCCTTTTACACGTATTCCTGCTAATATATGTTTATTAAGAAATTTACAAGTTAGTTAATTGAATATTTATTCTCCTATTATGTTTAAAATTCTTTTAGAAAATTGATTTTTCGTATAATCAGATTATAGAAGCAGATCCAACAGGATCATTAACTCAATGTTTAACAAACGTAGTTACACTTAATCTTACCTCTAATAATATTTCTAAATTTCCATCATTTATGATATACAATATGCCAAGTTTAAAAAATCTTTATTTTCAAGATAATCTACTGACTGAAATACCTGTGAATGCTTTTACGGACGTATCATCATTAGAAATAATCGATTTTTCATATAATAATTTAACAACGTTTGAGCTGTGGGCTCTTGAAGTTAAAACAAAAGCAGATTTTAGTTATAATCAAATTTCTACTATAACGAATAAATATTTCTTTAAGAAAATACTGAATAGAACTATAGAACAGGGTGTTTATTTAAGTAACAATAGTGCAGCAATAAATTTTACTGATGCGGTTTATGAGATGTATAATCAATGTGAAGAAGTTTATCAATGGTATTTTAGTAATATGGACTTACCAATGCAGCCGTGGTTTACCTGGAAATTGGCTTATATTGACTTTGGTACCACACGAATTGATTGCAGTTGTGATCAAGCCTATTTTTTACGTGTATTTAAAGATAGTAGCTTTCTTGAAGGGCAAATTTATCCGATACAAAATGCAATGTGTTCAAACAATTCACTAGGTGTTAACGATACAACTCTCTGGAATTCAAGTTGTGCTTCACCTATTTTTGAAACTAATTCAACTGTCGACTTTTCACAAGTTTATCCTAAATTATGTAAAATTACGGAAGATGAAGGCGGTGAACTAACAAACGTAACAGACATTGATCCACCAACATTAAATGCGGTAAGATATATTTTATGAGAATACAATCTGAAAGATATGTTGAAATATACTGATAGAAATTTGGAATCGATCTAGAGCTGGTCGGGTCCAAAATTGTTGAAACCGAACCCCGTTAAATCGCACTTTGACATTCTCAAGGAAATTTTCTAATCGGACAAGGATATACACCTAGATTGTACCAGATATTTTTTTTAGTTTTCTATATTCGATAACTACTGGAGCCCATCTATTCCGAAATTGTCGAACCAGAAGCCGAACGGATCCGGATTCAGGATCAATATAACTGGTTATAAACCGACTTCTCTTTACAAATGAATTAATACCTTAGCAACGCTTCTCGTTAGTCACAGATCAGGACACATACTTTAATATTGCGATTCACTCCTCACGGATTATGACAAGCAATACTCACGAGAACGAAACCTGCTGCGGCATTAATTTAAAACATAGTTATATTTAATATAGCTGTCATTTTGCTTTAGTAGCATAACCAAAAAAAAGTTGTAGCGGAGGCCTAGTCTTGTGAATATGCCTGTAGAGAGAACTCGACCTTCTTTTTTTTTGAACAAAACTTAATCGTAGTGGAAGGGAGAGAGTCTGAATTGCCGTTCAATTATGTCACTACTTCGCCCTTCTTCCATATTAACTCTAATAAATAACAATTATTATTTTTTATCATCAAAATGTATTAACAATGAGTTGGAATTCACAAATCGAAACGTACGTTAATGAATTTCTTGTGGTCACATTTTGATCATATTGTGATTGTGCTAAAAGCTTTTTGAAACAATCTTAGAAAGATTTTGTTTATCAATTTCGTTTTCTAATTTGAAATAAATGTATGTAACTATTCAGGATAGATTTAGGTAATAAAATTTTATTTTTACAAGAATTATACATGATTTGTATATGTCCTGTTAAATTTAATTCGAATCATTGTTAGATTTTATATTCGAGTATGTTTTTTTAGTCGTTTTATCCGAATTATACAACAGCATCATTGAACCCAGGAGCATGTTACTTCTCGTTTTCAAACAGTACTTCAATGATGATTAGATGTACAAATGACACATCCAATTCAGCATCAAGAATTCCTACAGATTTATTATCAAGTCCTTACATGTCCAATATAACTCATATTACATTTTCTTCATCTATTTCATCACTTCCCTCATATGTTTGTTCATTACCATCTGGTGAAATTGATTTAAGTTTTCAAGCATTTACTACACTTAATGATACAACATTTCCATGTCTCGATTCATTTCGTACAATAAACTTATCGTTTAATCAATTAACATCAGTCAATATGAAAAATGGTAATTTGAAAAACTTAACTTCACTTGATCTTTCATCAAATAAACTTACATCATTACCGTATTCTATACTTGATCCTACACCAACATCATTACGTTATCTTGATTTACGAAATAATTCTATAAATTATCTTGATCTTTTTATTTTTACACTAAAAAATATTACAATTAATCTTGATAATAATCCTATTAATAGTTCAAATATTATCAATCCTCAAAATGTAACATTAGGAAATAATGATACTTCAACAGTGAATATCACGTTTCCTGCAACTGTAAAAAATAGTACAATTCCTATTACAGACGAAATAGCATTAACTTATGGTATATGTCAAAATTTTCAATCATTACGAAACAATCTTCTTAAACTTCAATCAACAGTTAGTCATGTTGTACTTGTATGTACATGTGTATCAATAAATTTAAAACAAATATATCAACAAAATGGATATAATATTACAAATGATTTTCAGTGTTCAACTGCAGGTGACGAAGAAACTTTTTACGCATTAAACATGACTTCTTGTTCAAATGTTACCGATTTTAAATCAGGATTATGCGCTGAGGTATGTCGTATAATCTTTATCTTCTTCTCGAAATGAGATTTTAATCAAATTTATAAAAGAATAAAAGATAGAAAATTAAATATTTGATTGCAATCATAATAATATTTAACACGTATAAACTAATCGTTCGAATGTTTTTCAATTATTTTAATATGAATTTTTCGTAACTCTAGCTTTCAGTGTTTTTCATTCTATTGTGTGCTATCTCTATAATATTGTTCTGTAACTGTAAATTATAGAAATACATTCATATACAACACAGAAATCATTGTCGACTAAATCAATGACATGATTATTGCTGTTGTTGTATTCTTTAATTATTCAACTGCACATATAGACATTACTGGATATGACAACAATGAAATATTTAAGCACTACTGTTGAGTTTACAACTATTTCTTTAACGATTCTTATAATAAACTTTCAGTGAATTTTAAAAAAATTAAAATTTAATCAGATAATTATGTTTACATCAATAATAGGATATGAATCAAATAAATTCATCATGTTTAGCAAATATATAATAAGAACGATATGATGTTTTAATCATATATTCATAATAGCAAATTCTATTGTAAGAACTTCGATAAGAATAACAATAAGTCGAAGGATAAATAATATCGCCTACAGATAGAATAGTTATCGGTGCGGGTTTAAGACTACTTGGTTTGATAGTCATGACCAACGTATCTTATTTATATTTGTTCCTTTTATTATCTCATAGAGAATGTATATAGAAGCTTTGTTCAAGGTTGATTATGTCATATATCATTATCCACGGATGGGATAGTATGATAATTCATCAGTTCAGTGTCAGTATGGATTTTAAACCATTCAGTCTGATCTACTCAGATTGGCATCGGTACTGATCGTAAAAATCCACACTAGCTTCATCTCTGGTATGACTGTAAGTGATGTACCAATGATGATCTGTCTACTATTGTCTTTATTGCGCTGATTACCATTATTAGATCATTCTAGTATTATATTCATCAATGATATAGAAGAGATATTCTTTGTTATACTTATTTTGAAAACAACCTATCTCTTTACATTGCTTACTTGTTTTTCTCTGCTTATTTTTTTAACTTCTGCTTTATGTGTCTAAATAATGATTAGAAATCTACAGTAGATTAGATTTACATCAACTGAAATCATTATATTTGTATTATTTCTTTGTTCATTTCAGCCACCTCCAACTACAGTTGCTCCACCTCTTCAATCAAATAATAATGATTCCAATTCGAGTCGTACCGCATTAATTATTGGCCTGGTTGTTGGATTAGGTTGTTCCCTTTTACTAGTTGTTGCTATTCTAGTTGTAATTTACATTGTAAAAGCTAAAGGTGCAGTATCAGGAGTGACAAAACGTGTTGATCGAGCTCCTGTTACTAATCAAGCACCTGAAGATTCTCTCCAATCTCGTGTACAATCTAGAAGTTTTCGATCAGTAAAATTAGCACCAATCATTCATAAATCAGCTCCATTACCTGCAACACCTGTTGCAGCTGTTATACCTACTACAGCTTCTACAACGGCATCTCATACAAATACTAAATTACGTTCGTCATCAAAAGGAATTTCACTTCGACTTGATTCGATCAGGTATTAATTGGACTTTTCACATAAAAAAAAAAGAATATTCTAAAAATCTTCTTTAACAGGTCACCAAGTAATGTCAATCCACAATACCCACCGAATTCAAATGCTTTAAATAATACT